TAAATTAAGAAAGATTTTAAAGGGGTTTTGGGGCTAACCCTGAGAAGCCTATGCCAGTTGTGGAAATCCTTTGTGCCACTTCAAAGATTAGAAATGTGTGCACATGGGTTGAACTAAAACTTTATAGATGAAAACACCCTGACACAGCTGTTTGCAAGCCGTGCTGGTGACTATTTCAATGACAATGTTGTGGCCCATTTTAGACAAATCGTAAAGGAACGGGAGGGGTACAGAGCTCTATGACAGATTTGTTGTGCGACAGAGGTCCAGTGACTCTCAAGCTGGTCCTAGTGGCATTAAAAGAAGAAAGGGAAGTAACCCCGGAAAAAGGACTTGCTACCTCAAGTCGTAATGGGGGGATTCCCCTTCTAAACAGTAAGAAGATAATGCTCTCCCCTCCTCCCATCCCATCAATCATCACCAGATCTTCAATAAAAGTAAGTGTCATGTAATTGTGCATGCCTTTTTCAGTTTGTGTGTATTAAAATTAACATTTCATGTGGTAAAAAAAAATTTTTTTCATACTTTTGGGCGTCTTGCACGGATTAATTTTATTTCCATTATTTCTTATGGGGAAAATTCATTCGCATAACGATTATTTCGCATAACAATTATCCCTCTTGCACGGATTAAAATCGTTAACCGGGGGTCCACTGTATATCAGTTTTATATTGCATAATAAGTGCATCATTATAAATACAAAGTTTAAATGAACACTTACCCAAATATTTCTTAGGTTTCACATCTTAACACTTCCCTAAGAGACAAATATACTAGAGGTTGGCCAACATAGCATTCTACTGTAGTGAACAAGGAAGTTTACATACATAAGGTGTGCCACCTTTCCAGATGATGCCGTGTCTTTTATATTCCACTTATCAGCTTATTGTAGTTGAGTCGCTCTTGAATTTCACAATTACAGGAGCCCACGATCTTTACTTATTTCATAGTCCTCCATTCACGCCGATACGCTCCCTATCGGGCATGATTAAAACAGATTTTGTCTCTTATTACATTCTCCAATTGTTTTATACTACGCCATATTTCAACACCCCTCCCAACTGGTGTATTGGTTCTATCATGGCTAGAAAATTTTCTAAAAGTCGCACCAACACTACATTTTTTAAACAATACAGTAGTCTCCCCCCAAATTCACGGGGGTTACATTCCAAGACCACCCGCAAATTTGGAAAAACTGCAAATTCCAGACTCGGTTAAAAAAAATGCCTATAGATGCCTATTTTTATAGTTTAAACCTAAAATATGCCCCCCAAAGCACTTTAATTTCAAACTCAGCTTCATACATTACCCTTAAAAAAAAAATGTAAAGATAAACCAGTGTACAGTACTGTACTGCTATGTCTCCCGCAGTGCTAGACTGTAAAATACTAATGTTACCTCCATATAGGGCTCTGGTGGCCTGGTGGTTAACGCTCTCGCTTCACACGGTGAGGGCCTGGGTTCGATTCCCAGCCAGAGTAGAAACATTGGACGTGTTTCTTTCCACCTGTTGTCTATGTTCCCCATCAGTAAAATGGGTACCTGGGTGTTAGTCGACTGGTGTGGGTCGCATCCTGGGACACTGACCTAAGGAGGCCTGGTCACAGACCGGGCCGCGGGGGCGTTGACCCCCGGAACTCTCTCCAGATAAACTCTCCAGATATGTACTGTAATTCATGCAAGCCTGTTTTCTTTGGTATACTGTAATTTATTCATCCCCATTTTCTTTGGTATACGTACGGTAAATATACGGTAATAATTTAATTTAGTATTAAATTATTATTTGTTACAAAATTATTATTATTTATTTATTTAAATTATTATTATTATTATTTATGTAACTCTTATTATTTGTTACAAAATTATTAAATTTTTCTTAATATTTAGCATTAAAACACATAAAAAATTATATGTATATTGCCACGAAAAAAACAAAAAATATTCCACAAATTTGCGAGGATTTCCGTGAACAATTATTAATTAGGTTCTAAGGAAAATTTGTGAATTACTGAAGCCACGAATTCAGAACCGCGAATTCACGGGTGTCCATGGTATTACATTATTTAATATTTACACACTAATTTCAGGAAAATTAAAAAAAAATTTCCACAGGCTGGAATATTGCTGCACACTAACAGCACCTTTCAAGGCAGGTGAAATTGCTGACCTAGAAAATGTACAGAGAACCTTCACGGCACGCATAACGGAGATAAAACACCTCAATTACTGGGAGCGCTTGAGGTTCCTGAACCTGTATTCCCTGGAACGCAGGCGGGAGAGATACATGATTATGTTTTGTAGATGAATGGTTCAGAGAACCGACATGTTGATAAATTAGACACATGTGCAACTCTTGGGTATCTTTATTGTGGAAACGTTTCGCCACACAGTGGCTTCATCAGTCCGTACGTAGGAGAAACTTGAAGAACAGGAGGAGAATGAGGTAATCAGTCCTCAACCTTGAGTCGATGTGTTCAGTCCATCAATCTTGAATAGAATGCGGCATATCAGCGGAGAGGCAGCTTATAAACCGTATGGCAGGAGAGGTGCAGCAGTCATTGGTCGTGTCACATTTGTTCAATGTGGAAGTAGGTCGTGCCCAAGAATTAGGCAAGCGAAGAATTCCTAAGTACTTCCACATTGAACAAATGTGACACGACCTATGACTGCTGCACGTTTCCACAATAAAGATACCCAAGAGTTGCACATGTGTCTAATTTATCATACATGATTATATACACCTGGAAAATCCTAGAGGAACTAGTACCGAACTTGCACACGAAAATCACTCACTACGAAAGCAAAAGACTTGGCAGACAATGCAACATCCCCCCAATGAAAAGCAGGGGTGTCACTAGCACGTTAAGAGACCATACAATAAGTGTCAGGGGCCCGAGACTGTTCAACTGCCTCCCAGCATACATAAGGGGGATTACCAACAGACCCCTGGCAGTCTTCAAGCTGGCACTGGACAAGCACCTAAAGTCGGTTCCTGACCAGCCGGGCTGTGGCTCGTACGTTGGTTTGCGTGCAGCCAGCAGCAACAGCCTGGTTGATCAGGCTCTGATCCACCAGGAGGCCTGGTCACAGACCGGGCCGCGGGGGCGTTGACCCCCGGAACTCTCTCCAGGTAAACTCCAGGTAAACAGCTTCCTTTCACTGATAAATACCTGGTAAATAAGTAAGTCAGCTTATTTAGGCAAAGACACATATAAGTACAATTATCATACATAGTATAAATTAGAGATAACCCATGAGAGGAAGACAAAGTGACTTACTGTATTTCCACTGGGGTCCTTGAGGCCCCTTTTATGTAGGTACAATAACTTTTTTAATTTAACCGCAAACAAATCATAAACGGTAGTTCACATTGGCTGTGTGTTAAATAATATTAAGTAGTATTAGGCCTAGTTTAAATATACCCAAAATTCTTTCTATAATTGTGAGCTATTAAATTAACAAAAAAATGTTCTATAGAACACAATCTTGTAACATTTATATACCTTACAATTTAAAAATATAATTGCTGCTATTTTGATTATTATTATTATATTTTTTACAGGTTGCAGGCTTTATCTGGAATGACTTTAAAAGTGCATATAGCAACAAGTACTTGTTGAAGTGGTCCATTTGGTGGGCCTTTGCTACATGTGGAAATTTCCAGGTTGGCAATTACATCCAGCCTTTGTGGGAAAGCATTGCTCCTATGGATGAAAATGAAAACCTATACAATGGGGCAGTTGAAGCATCACAGACATTACTCAGTAAGATGTACTTTTATTTTTTTACACTGCTGAATTTACAGGCTATGAGCTGTTATCCTACCTTAGTCCATTTCAAAGCCCAGGCCTATCTAAGCCATACTACTGCCCTACCTCCTCAGGAAGTAACCCACAACAGTCAACTAACACCCAAGTATTGTACAGGCAGGCCCTGCTTATACAGCATGTTAAGTTCTGGGCTAATGCTGTAAGGCAAAAATTGCTGTAAAGTGAATCATAGCCTTTTTTTCACTTTCAAATGCATATAACAGTTTGATAACATGTTTACACTATCATGTATTCAGTGAGCAATAGAGCTAGGCCTAAAAAATGCATATACAGCACATGCATTACTTACCTTAAAATAAATTCATCCTTAGCCTATAGCGAGTGGTGAATATATTTATTGTAGGTAGTCTGAATAAATGAAGAATGGGTATAATTGAAAACTGTTGCATTAGCGAAACACTGTAAAACGAAGTGCTGCAAAGTGGGGCCTGCCTGTATTTATTGACTGCTAGATGAATAATGGCAATAGATATGAAAAAACTTGCTTATGTCTCTGCCTGCCCCAGGATCAAACCCATATCCTTTGAGTGGGAACTGAAGGCACTGTCACTGAGCTATGAGCCACCTACTTCCTTCAAGTTATAAAGTAGACATGTAAATTATATAAGACAGAGGTGTGCACTGTGGAAATAAATGTCTTGAACTGTCCATATTGTCTATCAACATAAGAATGGAGGAACACTTTAGGGTCGCTGCAATAGGCCTACTGGCTTGTTGCAGTGTTCCTAGCCTGTTGCAGTGTTCTCATATTCACCCCTTTCCACTCATATATTTATTCAACCTATTATCTAAGCTCTCCAAGGAAATGGCTTCCATAATCCTAATAACCAATTCAAGCCTTCTCATTCGTATATTTACCTAACCTGTTTTTGAAGCTTCCTAAGGTTATAGCTTCTATGACCCTGTTTGTCAGATTGTTTCACTCATCAACAACTCTGTTCCTGAACCAGTACTTTCTACATCCTTTATAAATATAGATTTTATTTTGAGTTTTTGTTTGATTGGATTTTTAAGTTGTATACTTGAACCATGTCTCACCTCATTCTTTGTCTTTCAAGAGGTCCCTCACTCTACTTTTGTATGAAAGATCCCATATAAAGTGGATTAATTTTATCATCCTTTTCTGTATGTTCTTTATTCTGTAGAGTGAAGACCAGAACTGTGGAGCATAATCTAAGTGAGGCCATATTAGTGATGTATACTGTTACATGTATAGTAAAACCTCTGGACTACTGGTACTTACACTTCCTGATATAAACCCAAGTAATCTGTTAGCCTCATTGTACACACTTAGGCACTGCTGTCTAGGCTTTGGATTTCTACTTACCATGACTCCCAAGTCCCTTTTACATTCTATATGATAACGTTCTGCATATTCAGTTGATAATTGCCAGGGTTATTGATGTTACCAAGGATTAGGACTGGGTTTATCTACTGTGAACTGCATCTGTCACTTTTTTGGACCACGTCATTAGCTTGTGTAAGTCTTGCTGAAGTTCAGTGGTATCCTCCTCCGAATCTGCTATTTAACCTATTTTTGTGTGTCAACGAATTTGCTCATGTCACTATTTGTTCCCTCATCAAGGTCATTTTTTTTTTTTTTTTTTTTTTTTTTTTTCTCAACAAGTCGGTCGTCTCCCACCGAGGCAGGGTGACCCAAAAAAAAAGAAAGAAAATCCCCAAAAAGAAAATACTTTCATCATCATTCAACACTTTCACCACACACACACATTATCACTGCTTTTGCAGAGGTGCTCAGAATACAACAGTTTAGAAGCATATACGTATAGAGATACACAACATATCCCTCCAAACTGCCAATATCCCAAACCCCTCCTTTAAAGTGCAGGTCATATATGCCACGAGTGACTGGCCTCATTCTGATTTTACCCCATTAATGGGAGTTCTCTTCCCTGTTGGTCCCCCATGCCTCTGTCTATTTGAGAAAATTTCTCCCTGTGCCAGGTATTGCCACTTTTTTAAAAAATCTTTTGTTTTACTTCATGAAAAGCTTTACTAATACAGAAATATATCTTTATACACAGCCTCATATACTTTACTGAAGAACATCAGTACATTTGTGAGGTATGAACAACCCCCTTGTGAATCAGAGATGAGACTTGTCAAATTATGCTCATCAAGGTGGATTCTTATTAATTATATCAGTTATAACTGACTAATAATTTGCCTGCTATTGAGGTCAAGCTTATTGGGCAGTAATTTGATGGTAATGATTTATCTTCCACATCTCTAGCACTATAACTGTTGGGAGTGATAAAATAAAAGGTTTAGGTAGTGATTCATTAAGTTCCATTTTACATCCTTTAAGAACCCTTGAAAGAAAGTCACTTGGGACCTGGGGACTTGCTTTACTTTAATTGGTCTACCTGCTTAACCATATCCCTGTTAACTGCAGTATTACATAATGTTTTCCCTCAGGCCCACTGTAATAATTACTAAGATATTATTAGTGTCTTCTTGTGTGAAGACCAAAAGAAATAACTGTTTAAAATTGAGAATTTATCTTCCTATTATCAGTAAGCTTTTAGTTATCTTTAAATGGAACTAACTTTTCTCTAATCTTAGTTATACATAGTACAGTACTTGGAGAAAACCTTTTCTGAAAACTTGGAGAAACACCTTTGGAGCTTACAAAAAAACTCATTAAAAAGAGAACATTATGAGAAGGATTTTGAAGTGAACGTAAGTGGCTCAGTGATATTGCCTTGGTTCACAACTGAAGGACCTGACTTCAATCCCAGGGAGCTGAGACCCATAAAAATATCCTTACATATGTTGACTTTTTTTTTAACATGTTGGCTGTCTCCCACTAAAACATGGTAACCCAAAAAAGAAACACTTTCACTATCATTCACACTATCACTATCTTGCCAGAGGCATGCAGATACGACAACAAATACAAGTACAAATCTTTATTTCCTTGCAAAGGTTACAGTGTGTGATTTACTTTGTATAAAATGTTAAGTATAAAGAAAGCCACTAGCATGTCTGAGCATTTTGGGCAGACAGTTTAGATGTCACTCCAAACAGCAAATATGTATCCCACCCCTCCTTTAGACTGCAAACACTGTACATCCCACCTCCAGAACTCAATAAATAAATGCTATATTTGTATGTTATAGACTGTTGTGGGTTACATCATGGTGCAGAAAATACTCTAAAAGCAGCTATAGCCAGTCACACTGAGCAAATAACAACAATAAATATGAAGGTTGAAGAAGCAATCAAGGACTGGAATCAGAACATGCACACTCGACTAAATGAATACCTTGATTTCCAAGACGACAAAACTGAACAAGATAAGTTGTCTGATGCAGTTATAATAAACAGTCCACACATTCCAAGTGACATAACACAAGCACAGTGCAAAGAAACTGCTATCAGGATAATACAGAACCACGTACAAGTCATCGTGCAAAACAATGAAATCAAAGAAACACGTTTGCTAGGAAAACCAGGAAGTAAACACAGTATAATGATCCGACTTCATTCATACGATAAAAGAAAGGACTTAATTAAATCAGCAATTACAATGAAAAATGGAGTGTACATAAATGAGTGTCTAACAAAAAAACGTCAAAACCTTCTGTTCAGGCTGAGAAAACTTAAACAGGAAAACAAAATACATCAGTGTTTCACGCGAGATGGGAAAATACTAGTAAGGAAAACATCAACAGGACAACAATATACTATCTCAAATGAACACATTTCTCTACCTTCCTTAGAAAGCTGACATTTTTGTAACAGATTAGATAAGTGCCCTTAATACATATATACGTGTGGTGCATATAGTGTACGTTACTATTATATTGTACATTATTATTTTTTATTATTTTTCATCACTAGCTAATGAAATACCTCCAATACTCTATACTTCTTTCTTACTACTATAAATTGCTCATAATTTTAAATTACAAGTCAAATCTTACTCCAAATTAATAATATTCATTATTCTTACCTGTCCATTTAATTTTGTTTATCACTACTTGTTTTTTAGTCACTTTTTATTGTGTATGCAATTAGTGTATATTCCAATTACTTTTTTGCAAGTACCAAAACTATCTTTTGCTAGCTAGTACCAACTACCTCATTTTTTTACTTTTACTGTGCAATAAACTGCTCAATTTATTTAATATTACAAATCAGATCTTACTCCTAAACCAATATTATTTCATAGTGACCACCTGTCCATTTAACTTTGTTTACCATTACTTAATTTTAGTCCCTCATATATTTTCTCCTTTATTTTAGCTTTATATAACTACCCTAGTTTATACATTCACAATTGTTAAAATAATCAAGGTGCTATTCTCAGGTGCTAAAGTAGAATAAGTTCACAACTTTGCCATTATATTCCAAAACTACCTTAGCTCATTTTTTACATTTGTTTAAATAATTCAGGTGCTATTTTTTTAGCTTAAGACTATTTACTTTGTTTTTTACTTAATTCTAACTATAGATTCACTACATATCTTATGATTACAAGCATTGATCCTGATACCAACCTCTTATTTAATGACTTAAATGATTCAAACAGTTACTGTAATTACTACACTGCAGAACAATCAAAGGCACTTCTCAGTGCCACAACAACATAACTATTTTTAACTACAATATCAATCTTTAAGCAAGCATTACGATGACCTCATAGCATTACTAAATTCCTTACATGCCAATATGTCCATCATTACACTAACTGAAACCTGGCTAAAGCCTGATAGTACAGATGTCTATGCCATTCTGGTTACACAGCCATACACAACTGTAGGCCAGACCAACAAGGGGGGGCACAGCCATATACTACTCAGACCAACTAGAATGTATCACTAATACTTGCACAAGGGATGAACATGGGGAATATATAATAGCCAAATTCAAATCCAAATACCTACAAAAACCTCTCACATTGATAA